TATATATATATATAAAGCAAATGTACAAAACAGTGCTTTTTGAAAGTTTGGCAAAACATTTGAAACAAACGTTTTTTATCGTAACCAAAAAGGAACAGTTACAAATTTTTTTTTTATCGTTCAGCGGCAAACTATACAACAATTTTTTGAAAAGCTCTTTTGTTTGTGTATTAATTTTTCCTCCTTCTAAAGTACCGCCAACAATGCCACTGAAGTACGCCAATATAAGATTTGTACTTGGTGCTTTAGAAAAAATGCTAGAAGTCCGCCCTCAGTTGGGTCAATTTTCACTTGTCAAACAGTTTTTGCAATTAATATCTGTAAATATCAACATGGGGATATGCTAAAAAATTGTATTTATTAACAGTAGGCAGTTATGGGAATAACTGCAAAAAACACTATCACTATTATACACCAAAAAAGCGTATATGTTTGTTGATAGCATTTGTTTAAATAATTAACTATTGTTAGTATTTAGTGTACAGTTAAAAAAAAATTGAAAGCAATAATTCTTTTTTTGATAATTTGATTGATATCTTATGCAGTTATTAGCCATCTTAGAGTCATATATCAACTAAAAACTGTTTCTTCTTCTTCTTCTTCTTCTTCTTCTTCTTCTTCTTCCCGTTCTTGCTCTTGTTCGTGTTCTTCTGTTTTTATGTGTTTATTACAACTCTGGATCTGACAACAATCACAGTTCTTTCTGACCTTCTAATTTTGTATTTGATAACTGCTAAATACAGTACAAAGGTGATAAATTTCACGTATATATTTCAGTTTTTTCTTTTTGCTGTCTGTATTGTTGAAGTGTTTTAGTGAAAAATTATTTGCGATGAACACTAAGTGCAGTTTGCACTATGAACAATACCTGTTCAACAATAAAGTGCCTTGATATGAGGCTTAAGTCAATGTCTATCTCAGCTAAACACTTAGCTTTTTAGTGCCTCTGCTGTTGCTGTTGCTACTGCAGATAATTACTTTTAACTATACAGTTCGCCTTTAAATCTTTACATCAATATAAAAAGAAAATACACTCAAGTTTTTTAAATGTGTAAAAATAACAAAATCTTTTTCTATAAAGTTTTTCATAGCATTTCATCTTTTAACGCTTAAGTGATGTATTTTTGCCAAGTAACATAATCAATCTTTTTGTAACTGTTAAAAATAAAAAATTTTTTAATTTTTTTGTTATTCCAGTTTTGCAATAGGCTTTCAATAGGCTCAACCTAAATTACTGTACTGTAAAATAATTTTGTTGCTTAATAAATAATAAATCACTTAATTAATTAGTTGAAATATTTGGGTGATTGAATAACAGTTTATTAAATTCGTTTCAAAACTTATTGAACGCTTCTTAATCGCAACAGTCATTTTGGCTTGATCAAAAAACAAAAAAAATACTTTTACCAACACAATATTGTCGTTAATT